GCTGATGCTTAGGATCAATGATTTGCGTCAAGGGCATCAGCTCTTTGGCCGAGAATGACCAGACATGAATAATGGCGGTTTCACTGCTCAGGCTCCTTCAGAAGTTAGAGGGTTTTTTCCGTTGTTGTGCTTGCTGTTCTTTTGTGTGTGTGTTTGGAGGAAAAAGAAATCCCTCCGTTATGAAAATGTTATAGATTTACAAGTGCTGAGTAGGTGAAAGGGCGGGAGAAGAACGAATGATGATGAATTCTCCTTTCTCTTTCTTTTTTTCCCTCACTGACTGCTCTGTGCCCCTCCAAACGGGCGCGTTCGAGGTGATGAAGCGTCCCTCTTTGGAGACAGACCGAGGATTGAGTCTGTCATTTATAGCCACAAAAGGTCCTGGTATTACTATTCAAATTTCTGTTTTGTTTGCCAGGTTTTTTTGTTCACATTCATTGTATGTAGTGTGTTACTTCAAAGTTCCATGTAGAATCTCAGAAGGTCACGTGTAGCTCAATGATAAATAAAGAATTTTGAGAGAGTGATTGGATCATGCATAGATAAAGGACAGCATCATTATTTTAATAATGTTGAACGTCAATGTGACGTAGTAGAGATATCATTAATGTCCTGGGTTTTCTAGATATTGGGAGGGTCCATGATCACAGTGAATTAGTGATTGATTTAAGTTACATAAGATTTTATATGAATGTTATGTATGTGTATCTATAGAATCAAATATGTTGTTGATCTGCCAAGAATAATGAATTATAAAGTTCTGTAGTTCTCAGAACCAAAATAATTCATACTCTGTTTTTTAAGTTTGTTTGATTTTATGGCCATATATTTGAAACCTAGTCATGTTCTTATTTTTGTTTAATCAATTTAAATTTGTTATTATTAATATATCTGATAGAACCATTAAATATATATAATAGTGTATCAGATGTTAAAGTAAACTCTTGTCTATGAATGAAAATCTATGATGAGGCCTGAAATATTTATAAAACTTGTGAACACTGGAGGTCATGATGTAAATGGATCGAGAGTGTTAACTCTTTGTCCCAGAATTACATAGATTTGCATAATTAAGAATCAAGTGTACTTTTCTAGGTTATAATCACCCTGGAGGTCTTTTGATACATAGCAAAAATTCTCTATATTATGAAAATGTCATAAATTCCTATGATTTGGTATATTAAACGTAGAAAGTAGAATCCATAGTGATAAATGTTTCTTCCTTTCCTTTCACCGTTGAGCGTGTATTCTTCCTCTGAAAATGGAGGCGTTCATGCTGATTAATTATTGTGCCATCTTTGGGAGACTTATGATTACTTCTCTGTAATGTGAGTAATTTCGTGTCTTGGTTAGGAGATATTTTGTGTGTTTGTGTGAAGTTAGTGTGTTGTTCCATATAGGAACGCAGAGGAAACTTTAGCTCAGTGATTAATACTGATTTCTATGAAACAGTAATTGATTAATGCATCAGTGAGGTAGCATCATAATTAAAAAAAGGTACATAGAAATGCATAAACTACAGATTAGGGATGTGATGTCTCTTCTTAGTTTTGTGGATAGTATTTCTGTAAATTTTTATTAGTGAATAACTGAATTTGTAAGTAACATAGAAATGAATGAGGGAAAAAGAGGGACGGTGTTGGATTGATGATGACTACCCGTGGCGTATGAGTTGTATGCGATGAATACGTGTCTGGAACTCTGAGATCCAACAGAAATGGGATCTAGTTCATTGTCCTTTTTTATATGATTTCATAGATATGTCAGTAACATATAGGGAACTTTTTTGAAGGGTCTCTATGTTCTTGCATTTTCTTTTATTTATATAATTATATCAATTAAATAAACAATAAAAAAACATAAAGGAGATGGCAATGAAATACAGTCCATTCATAAACACTGTACGGTGTTGTAAGAAGTAGCTTTAATGTGCAGTGAAATAGTGACCTCTCAGGGAATGTGTGGTTCTAGGTTGTTATTGGTTGACTAAGGCTGATACAGGGATTGATACGTAGCAGACAATGTCCATGCTGTCCGCATGTGGCTAGATCGCTGTTCCTTGTTTACTTTAGAAAATAAAATATACATTGTTGACATTCATGGCTTAGTAATTAACTGCCTAAGTGAGCAATGAAATCCAAGCACTGATGGACATGTCTCAATATCTTATCTGCTCTGCTTTGTACTCCTTAGATTGATTGCATTCTGATGATGGAAGCATTCCAGTATGGTCATGAGCTCTGGGGGTTCATCTGTGGTTTAGAAGCGTGGAGACTAGAGTGAGTAGTCATCACAATTCTTTTCTTCATTTTGTGGGCTTTAAAAAGGCTTTCACTGCAGTAGTAAAAAGTGTGAAATATAGTCATCATCAAACTTCAATTCAGTAAAAGTTAGGGTAAGAAAAAGAATTATTTTAATTAATCTGTATATGAAATGTTCAAGTCTAGTAATGAAATACATCTACTCAGTGAGAAGCAATCCTATAGAGAAATTTTAGAGATGGTCAAGATCTTTTCTAGGTTGTGTTATATTCCCCATGTACTGATTTTATTATTAAAGAATTGATGAATTAATTGATTAAAATGTAGACATGAATGAAGATAATGAGGGCCAAATATGGGTTAATAATTTTGATTTCTGCTATGAGACAGATGGTGAATATATGGGTCTGGAGTTCTGAGGTCAAATATAAAGGAAATCTAGTATTTGCCTTCAGTTTCAATTGCTCCTATTGAGAGACATCGTGCGCATACAAGGATCTTGCTCTTAGCCTTTGTGTATAGGAATGTCTCAATCATTATTATCAAAAATCAATGTCAGAACAATTAAAGAAATATATAAATGAATAAATATGAATAAGAGAAACACTATTCATTGTTGAAATATATCGCAAAGACATATGATGATGTAAATAGGAATGGAAAGTAAAACGATCACTTTATATGTCTGTGAGGAACAGTGAAACATATGGCAAGAATAATAGTAGCTCCTACCTCTGATGCATTTAGTCAGCTACAAGTTTGATGTTTGCTTTGCTAGAAGAATGAGAAAAAGTATTACCATAATATAGTAAATGCCTTAATAACTATGCAAACAAGTGGTTTCACATACATCTCAATGGAGAGAGCATGTCAATGCTTGCATCATCACTCTGCCTGGTCGTCTTCAGAATGTGATGCTTGAGCTCCTTTAGACTTGTGCCATGTCAGGCCTGTTACGTCACCTCTGTGACGTCACCTCTGTGTCTGGGAAGGGACCCGGCACGTAATGGTAAAATGGTTGTCTTGGAATGGGTCATTTGTTTAGGAATATTTACTACATTGTTAAAGAGCATTAAATAAGCAAGAAGTTAACAATGGCCCAGTGTGAAAGATGAAATGTACCATAATGCTGATTAATCAGTAATGCGCAGAATTGAGGACTATATAAAATAGGTTTGTGTGTGTTTGGATATATCTGTATATTGCCTAAAGATCACCACAATTTAGTCTAATTAACCTCTCTAATCAATTAAGCTTCATTTTTTTTCTTGTGATGAGAACTTTTAAGATTCACACTTACCAGCTTTCAGATAAGCAATACAGTAGTAACTGTATTATCATGTTGTGCTTAACATCCCCACAACTGCTTTATTTTATAATAGGAAATGAATGCCTTTTGATCCCTTTTGCCCATTTTGCCCATGCCCCCCTCGCACCTCTGGCCACCATCAGTCTGTTCTCCGGATCTAAGAGCTCTGTTTTTCTTCTCTCCTCTTCTCTCTCCTTTTCTTTTCTCCTTTATTGTTTCCTGTCTCTCTCTTCTTTTCTTCTCTCTCTTTCTTTCCTTATTCCTTTCTTTCTTTTTTCTGTCTTTTAGATTCCATGTAAGTGAAATCATACAGTATGTACCTTTCTTGTCTGACTAGTTCACTTAGCAAAATGCCCTCAAGGCCCATCCATGTTGTCACAAATGGCTAGATTTCCTTTTTAATGGGTGAGTAATATTCCATTGTAGAAATATACTGCCTTTTCTTTATTCATCCATCAGTGGATACTTCAGTCGTTAACATATATTGGCTATTGTAAATAATGTTGCAGTGAACACTGGGGTGCATATATCACTCTGCATCAGTGTCTTCATTGTTTTTTTAAATACTGGGAAGTGGAATTGTTGGCTCATATAGCAGTTCATTTCTAATTTTTTGAGGACTCTTCACATTGTTTTCTATCATGGTGTCACCAATTTACATTTCCTACAACATTGTACATAGAGTCCCTTTTCTCCACATCCTCCCCTACGCTTGATATTTCTTGTCATTCGATACTAGCTATTCTAAGAGAAATGAGGTGATGTCTCTTGTGGTTTTGATGTACATTTCCCTGATGATGAGTGATGTTGAGCACCTTTACATGTTCACCATCCGTAAGTCTTCTGTTCTTGGGTTTTTGCGAACCGTGTGTTATTTTTATTATTATGAATAAATCAATAATTTGATACATATGTGGAAACTAAGGAAGAAGGAGAGAGTCTAATATAGACTAATGGTAATGACTGGTGACTGAGGAGTCGTGGATGATGACAACAGGTGTCTAAACTCTGAAGTCCAACATGGGACATAACTAGTCTGTTCCCTCGGTTAGAATTGTTTCTATAGAGAAATGTGAGGAATAGAAAAACATCATACTCTTGTATTGATTTTATACAAGATTTATTATTTATGGTATAATGATAGAACCTTTAAGTAAATATAAATAGTGTAGTAAAAAGAGAAGGATGAAGCATTGTCCATCTATGAACATATGTAGTGAGGCTAAAGATACTATTTATAAATATTAAAAATATTGATGACCGTTAAGAAATAACTAGATCAAGAAATCATCCCCTTGATCAGTGTATATGAATATGGATAAATGAGAGTTAATTTGAGTCTCCAGGGTCAGTCTCAATATTGAGTTTTTTTGTTTGTTAAGATAAAAATTATATGTTAAGAAAAATCATAAATACCTAAATACAGAGTCACTGAAGTGTTGTAAGCGGGCTCAAGGGGATTTGACCTCATTTAAAAAAATAATAATCTGTTTCTCTCTATACTCTCCAGCATGAAAACACCTGAGATGATTTAAGCATCTCCCACAGTCACAAACTGTATGGTTACCACTTCTTAATCAACGTTGGGAGATTAATGTGAGTAATAGTTGAAGTTCATTTCTTGGTTTAAGGATATTTTTCAAGATTGTCTTCTATATTATTAAAAAGTGTGGAATATAAGTGACGGCAGCAGGTGTATCTCATTCCTGAATATGGATATATGAAAACTGTATTGATTAACATGTGTGTGGAAAACTTAGTTTAATTAATAAAAGAAATATATTGATGTGAGAATAATTCTCTGTAGATTCTGGAAATAAAAGCTCTTATTTTTTGTTTAATTTTACTGCTTAAACATTAATATTGAATTATACATTTAATCAATAGACAAATAAAATGTATGTTGAAAAAGAGGGACAATATTGGATCGATGATGACTACTGGTCGCGTATGAGTCAAATACGGTGACTACATGTGTGAAACTCTGAGGTCCAATATAAAACTAATCTAGTCCATTTCCATTATTTGAAGGCATCCTACAGAGAAATGTTACGAATATACTAAGGTCTTGCATTTGGACTTCATGTTCATGCATTTTCATTTATTATTTTAACTGGATAAATGAGAGAATCTATAAAAGTATAAATAAGTAAAGGTGAATGAGTGAAGCATTATCCAATTACATAAAATATATGACTTATATGACTGTTACCTGGGTGGCTAAGGTAATAAAAGTCTTAAATGATGTTCAGATGGACATCAGTGGCAAGATCACACTCGTTCATTTTCTTAAGAGAGGAAAATAATTACACCAGATACATGATCTTCTAAGGACTGATTAAGTGAAAAGTTAAATGTAAGGATCAGTGGAGAGAGTGTCTCAACTGTTTCTATCATGTGCTCTGCCCTGTACTCCTCAGAATGGACCCACTGGACCTAATTTCAGGACGTTTCCTTGATCGTGAGCCTAAAGATTGCGTCTCTGTTTTAGGAACCGGCAGAACTGTGTGAGCAATAACTTCTTGTCTCTGTTTGGGTGGTTTGTTTCAGAGTGTGCACTGTATTAATAAAAAGTAAGACAAATACTCAGAGAAGTCCAGCTGTGTCCTTGTGACCAATACGGGGTTAATAGGAAGGATGAGAGTGATTAAAGCATTTATGAAAAGTGGAATAATTAATGACAGAGATAACTGGTGTGATGATTCTACATATTAGGGATAACAATACTTTCTTGGGGATAACAATGCTTTCTTGGGATTTTGTAAATCATAGAGTTTTAAAATTATAATTAGTGAATTAATAAATTAATGGATAAAAAATATGGGATGTATGAAGAGAAGGTAGTCTTTTCTGGATCGATGATGATCTATGCCAGCGTATGAGTCATCGATGACGAATAATTCGTGTCTGGAACTCTGAGGTCCAACCAAAAGACATATCTTCTTTCTCTTCATGCATTTTCATTCTTTACTATAATTGAACCAAAGTGTGAATAAGCAAATATATGGATCAATGAAGAGAAAAGTCTCAATCTCTTTATCCTCTTGTGTGTTTGGTAATTTTCAGAATCGAAGCTGAAGGTGATTTGAGCGTCCACTGTGATCAAGGTTGTTGTAGGGCAGACAGCAAGGTGAGGAATGGCCAAAGCTCTTGTCTTGGTTTTGTCATTTATTTATGGGTTCTCGTATTATTATTAAAAGTAATACATATAATCCAAAGGTTAGCTATGGCCTAAAGATAAATATGATATGAAACCTCATGCTGATTAATTGATAAAGTATAGCATTGATATTTATTAATGAGAGAGCTATAACCTCTTTCAAGAATGAGTTCAGAGAAGTTAGGGATACTCAAGGGTCTTCCTTTTTGGTTTTCGTTAACCTTGTATTTATTTTATTATTATCAGTGAGGTAATGATTTAACTGATACAAATAAATTAGTGTGGTAAAATTCATCCTCAAATGAACCAATGATTAGGTCTGGTGGGAGACGAGTCATGCCCAATGAATAATAAGTTTCTAGAACCTTGAGGTCCAACACAATACACAGTCTATTTCTCCATTGATTCAGTCCTATGGACAGATATTAAGAATGTATGAAGTTCAAGTTTTCAGACTGAGATTTAAAATTATTAATAGATGAATGATAGAACCATTAAAGATAAATAAATAATAAACATGAAAAGGTAAATTGTCATGACATTATGAACATATATGGTGAAGCAAGAAACGTTAATAAGAACTGATGCCCGTTATGAAATAAATGGATGAAGGGTATCAGCTCTTTGGCCAAAAATCATGAAGATATGAACAAGTAGGAGTTGTTTTTTCTGAGTCAATCTCAAGTTAGAGGTTTTTCTTTCTGTTAACAGAAAACAGTAACTATATTATAAAAAAATGACAAACTCCTAAATGACCTGGGTAAGTAAAATACAGAAAGTAGGAGTCAGTGGCAATAAATTTTCCTTTTTCTTTTTTTCCCCATTGACTGTTTTATACCTTTCAAATGGACTCATTCGAGTTGATTAAGCCTCATTCCATGAAGGTGCATCTGTCTTTTAGAGGCACTGAGAACAACGTGAGTAATAGTTAAACTTCTTGTCTGCTTTTGGGGTGTGTGTGTGTGTGTGTGTGTGTGTGTGTGTGTGTGTGCTCAGTGTACAATTTGAACAAGCCACAGAGAATCACAGAAAGAGAACTGTAGCTCAGTGATAAACATAGACATTTATGACACATTCATTGATTAGTGTGTACTTGGAAAAAAAATTTTAAAAAGATAAATTGAGCGAGAATGATTGGTATATGGAAGAGAGATAACATGAATCTTCTTTGTTTTTGTGAATAATAGGGTTTTAAATTCTTATTAGTGATGTACTGGATTAGTAAGCAAAGAAATAGAGATAAACGAAGAAAAGAGACTCAGCCCTGGACCAATGATGATGATCGTGACGGGAGGAGTCCTGGACGATGAAAACATGTCTGAAATCTGAGGTCCAGCACAGAACATAAGTGGCCTATTCCCTCTGCTGCAACTGATTCTAGAGAGAGACTCAGGAATACAAAAATTATATTTGGTATAGATTTCATAGACTTAGATTTGTTACTATTAATGGATCTATCATTGAAGATTCAAGCAAATATTTTTAAATACATATGGCAAAATAGGGTGAAGCCTGTCCATTATGAACATATTTGGTGAAGCAGAAGCTATAGTTCTTTTTAACATTTTTATTGATTTATAATCATTTTACAATGTTGTGTCAAGTTCCAGTGTAGAGCACAATTTTTCAGATATACATGAACATATATATATATTCATTGTCAAGTTTTTTTCTCTGTGAGCTACCATAAGATCTTGTGTATATTTCCCTGTGCTATACAGTGTAATCTTGTTTATCTGTCCTATAATTCTGAAATCCCGTCTATCCCTTCCCACCCTCCACCCCCTTGGCAACCACAAGTTTGTATTCTATGTCTATTTCTGTTTTGTATTTACGCTTTTTTTTCTAGATTCCACATATGAGCAGTCTCATATGGTATTTTTCTTTCTCTTTCTGGCTTACTTCACTTAGAATAACATTCTCCAGGAACATCCATGTTGCTGCAAATGGCATTATGTTGTCGATTTATGGCTGAGTGGTATTCCATTGTATA